ATATATATGTATATCTATATATGTATATATATGTATATATACTTATTTATATATATATATATCTATATATATATAGGCAACCTGGCAACGCATCCTTGCCACCGGCTGGATAAGTCGTGCCAGGTAACCAATCACCCACTCATGGAGGGTTCTCGTTGCCAATAGGGTATGTCGACGGGTCGTGCTGGAAAGGCTCAGTGCCATTGGGGAAAGCAGTAGGCGCGTAATGTGGGAAGCCTGCAGGGTCTAAGTGATGCCCGGGGTTTTGCTGTAGTTGTGAGAGATCGGCAGGTACGTAGGGGCCTACGGCTGGTGGACCGGCGGGATACTCCATGCCTTGTTGTTGTTGGGCTGGGGCTGACCCGTACTGCTATTAATAGGGGAATAAATGGTATTGATGTGATTATGTACGCCGTTTAGAGAGATCAGACTGTATAGGTTGACTCATCGTCAGGTTAGGCGTTTTTTTTTGTACCGGTCAATATAAGAATCTTTCAGCAAGAAGAGTTTCCCTTGCTCCATCCCGTCAAGTACTATTCTTGGTTCGCAGTAGTCGTGCACGTACATGTATATATCGGTATGTGTGCGGCAACTGACTCGTCTTCGCATCTATATATGAACTGTATAGTACACAAGTCAAGTACGCTCAACAACACATACGTCAAGTGGAACGTCAGGTGCATTCAGGCAGGCCTGAATCAGATTCTTGCCCTCCGGTTTTGTAATTAAAGGTTGTAACTTGGGTGTGGCAAAGGTGTACACATGGCCGGTTTCCGAAGCCACAAGTAACAGTACTTGGGTGCCGGTCAACGTACTTAATTCGTAGGCTTTCTTCATAATCCCGGCTTTCCTTTTGCTGTGGGCGTTCGGGGGAATGAAATATGATACCTTCAGCATGCGATCAACAAGAGATGGAATGTCCTCAAACAATGAGAGTTTGAACTAGCTCAAGCAACCCGTTAGTATAACAGTAGAAACTCTCGAGGCGATTATTGCAAGGGATATGTCGTTGTATATTTAACCATAGTAACAATCTTCCGGTAGCTGACGACCCGAAACCATGTTTTATTGCTCAAAGCGTAGATTACTACAAAGATAATAATAGTGCTGCATTATCGGCATTTCGAATTGATACTCGAGTGTAGAGGATATATTGGTGCCTAACAACTCGATAGAGCTGTAAAGGTACGCTATACAAATACAAGTACAAAACAATATCCAACTACGAGCATATAAGACACCCGGGGAAGGGGGAAAAAGGGCATTCAGAATATAAGATCCGACCTGGTGGAAACAATGCAATAGCATTCATGTATATACCGCTTTGGTAATTTGTAGCCACACCATACTCCGAACAAGTGAGGGACGCGATCCGAATTCTCTACCTCTATTACAGGGTGAATGATGCACAACGCACAATGACACCACAGCGTGTTCCTAAACACCTAGCATGGCCAACTACAAACAACGGCATAAAGAATCAATCGTCACTAGACAAGACAAACGACAAGATACATGGCTACGAGCTGCGTTCACAGTGCAAGTCCAGAAATTGGTGAGAGGTAACCCGAACGCAAAAAAATTAAACACGTCCATATAGTCCTACCCTAGCAGCATAGAACTAACCTGAAAGTGATATGCCGCCTGCTTTTATCGTCAATAAACTCAATAGGAATCTTGCGCCTGCCCCCGGTTTTTCTCTCGACCACAGACCCGTCCATAGAATTAGCAACACTCTCTGTCGGGCTGTCAGGACCCCCTAAGGAGAACTTCACATCCAAATCTTCACTCATGATCGTAGTGTGTGACTTGGGCGATTGATTTCAGATACACTCGTTATCGAGCTGGTGGTGCAGTAGCAACGAGGACGAGAAAATGTTAGTGCCAGTAATATACGTTAGATTTTTGTGCAACAGTATAGTGAGCATCTATTTTAGAGTCAGATGGAGTCAGATGGGCACAGCACGCCCCTTGGCCCCCTACACATGCATACGGATGTGTTCACGCGCACATGCGCACTCATACAATCTCACTATATAGAAAAACTACATATAATTGAACCGAGCAAGTGGTACAAGGCTTAAATCAAAAAGTTGATATGTGTCCTTTAACGTTACGATTCAGCAAACCGATCTCGCGACGCATCTAGTGTAGTTGTTACTAAAGTGCCTGTCAGCTAAACAGCGCGAAGATTGCTCTCACGTATACATACACAGCCCCGCTCACGCCATATCGGTAGCTGTCTGACTTCACTTTACGTTACATGATTATGAAACAGCTACAACACACCTTCGATATGATGTCGCTGGTCTGGTATCATATACTTCACGATGTTGACTAGTCTGCTATGAGCGTTGTTGTATTCCGTGATACGAATACCTGACTATATACGGGTCGAGTGCGCAGGGCGCGCTCCAACGGACTTAATTTAGTGAACTGACTTGCCGTTTACGGCAAAACTACTCTAACCTGAATTCTCAACTGAAATTTTTTTTTAAATTGCCATTCAACGAGAGTCTGAGGAGTTCTGGTGATACTTTGTAGTCTAAATAAAATACACACGACACAATAAAAAAATATTAAAAAGCTTTGGTATAGAAGTCAGAACTATAGATTGGGCTGTGAAATTGAAGAAGGGATCAAGAGGGAAAACGCGGTCGGACCGGCGGACGCCCCAAATCAAAAAAGAAAAACCTGTTTTTGGCTTTGGCTGATTTGTTGGGGGGGTGGAGCCGTGGGCCGTTAGAGAGGTCGGGGGATGTGGGGCGTGGAGGACTGGGGTCTAGCCGACTGGCCACCTGGGGCTGGGGGCTTGAACTTTGAAGTCTTGAACGTTGTAGTTTACAACGTACACAACAAGAAGTATACAGTTGCGTCTTTTATTAAATCATGTGTCCAGTAATAAGACTCCAGCTGTCCAGTACAATTTTGAATCAAATAAACCAATCCCTCTGTAGAAAAGAAAGAAAAAATAAAAATAGAATAACAACACAAAGTCGATATTTACTTATCATGTGCCAAACCTCACAGGCCACAGCTGCACAGCACTCTAAATAATACCCAATATACCTGCCTTTATTTTTGGATGCACCTCAGCATACATAAAAAGGACTCTCGACCAGCCTGGGGATCTGCGAGTGAATGCGACTGTTGATCTAGTGATAAAATTATCTCCCACACCCAGCCGGCCTTGGATCAGAATCCTACTGGTCAATATTGCATATAGCACAGTAATGTACTGCCGCTGAATAAAAATCAAAAAAAAACTTGAACTTTATTTCTACTGGTTCATATTTATAAATTTGTTCTTTTTTTGTATCTTTTTTATATAAAAACAGTTCTACAAAGAATATTGACGTTGTGACTTGAGACTTGAGACTTGAGAGTTGTGACTTGTGTCTTGTGTGTTGTGACTCTCAGTGGACTGTAGACTGTGAGACTGTGAGACTGTGAGAGTCGTTAACTCTCGTGGACTCTGTCAGTCTGTCAGATAGTATCAGACGGACAGACCGCCAAATCCAATCGACTTGTGACATATCAGCTGTCTTTTTTGTTTTTTTGTTTTCAACAAAATAATCTCGGGGTCTTCAATTCTCAATTCTCAACTTGTCCATGACCCGGCCCTCGGGCCTCGGGCCTCGAGACGAGGTTCTACTATGACTTAAACTTACCCTGGGTTCAGCGGCTGCCAAACCACTCGTTCCGCCCACGTACCCATGCTACCCAAGCTGGCTTCAAATCACGGTACGCCTGTCATACCCAAGCACTCGCCGCCATGTGGAATCTGAGACACAGTCAGAAGAGGAGTGGAACGACGTCTGACTGAATATTACCAAGGCGTACGACAAGGTTGCTCTCCCACGCCTATGGGTACTACTGCGCCACGATGGAATACCCGAAAACTGGATCAACTGCCTCCGCGCACTATTTGAGAGGGTCCCTACCCGAGTGACATACCGCGGCACGATCTTTCTGGGCACCAACCCTCCGTTTAAATGGTGAGTTTATCACGCCGACGCTCGCATACGCACCTTGAAACACACGTTACCTCTCCCTGCAGATGCGTCCACACATGCCAAGCCGAAACGCTCTAAATATCTGGAGTTCCCACTCTCTAACAGAAACCAGGGATCAACCTCGACAGACATATGAAATTCCCGGTTGCCGTATTGTCCCTGGGTATCGCCTCTTTCCGCACTTATGGCTTCCATGGCTTCAGCTGGCGACATCCCCACAACCGGCTGGTGCTGTTCAAAACATTCATACTATCCACGGCTACATATAGCCTGAACATTATTGCCTGGGCTCCGCCTTTATCTGTTCAAGAGCTATAACTCAACACTCGTCTAAGCAGCAGCCATCAATACGGGCAATAAATATTCTAGGTTTCCCAAACATCAAACAAACTTACTCCACTTTGTAATAGCCGGGCCTCCACATTAGACTCTATACTATAAGCGTACTTTTAAGCAGTACGTAAACTATAAACGTACTCTTAATAGTACGAGGAACTTAAGTTTCCTAAATGGTTTTTAATGGTTTTATTAATTAATACCTTTTTCATTTTACATATCAGATGTTTGGACAAGGCCATTGATGTAAGATTCGGTCTATCAAGGCGATATTAACGCCTTATAGTAAATAAACGCGTAGGTAAGTTCTAAGTATCGTGAAAATTTCAAAGTAAGTAAACGAAATGAGTCTTTTAGTAAAGTTAGGTATGCCTCGTGAAAACAGCAATACTCTGAGGGATTGTGAGGCTGAGACATTGCCTATATATAATCCTCTCAGTACTGTTTTCACCGAAGGGGTTTTGTTTAGTGTTTCGTTGTCGCTCTATTAGAAACTATGGTATGCTTCGTTGGGGCGAAACCGAGAGACTCATAAAATCTTATCTTTAGAATAAATATATAAATAAAAGAAAAATACTCTTGATGTCCTTAGTTGTTGTCTTAACCAATAACTTGCCACTTATCAAGAATTACCGACTTAGCCTTCATCAAACTGGCACATCTGGTTGGCCGATCGGAAGATCAACTAGGTAACGTTAATAGGGATAATATTATTTATTTCAAAAGAGTTAAGTTACAATGTTTGTACATATGGTATGGCTCTCATAGCCGTTGTAGTGGGTCGGGGAAGATCGATGGGAAGAAGTGGTCAGTAAATTCCCTGTTGAAGCTTGGACCAAGTGAGTTGACAATGGAGGATATGCGCTGGGTCAATTCAGGCCGGTGCTGACAAAAAAAATAGAAACCTACATTCGGTTGAGCCATCTCGCTACCGAAGTATTCAGATATAAATAGATTTGGAAGTTAACATAGTTATATTAATAGAACTAGTACAAATCATATATTTAGCATTTTAATATGGCCTTTTAATGGCCTTATCCAAATAAAATGTATTTAATTAATAAAAACTGTTAATATCATAGGCGAAACCAACAAGCGCGATGACTGGGTTTGGAACAAAATTTGGAAGTAGTACGTCAACAGCGTGATTAGCCGAGATATGGGAAACATATGTTGATGTGTCAGAGACGGATGAGGGTTCGGTGGCTCTTCTACGTGCTGGGGAAAAGACCCAAGGTGTTCGTGGAGGGTCCAGATACCGTGGAAGTCGTGGCACTCCTGTATTTGTTGAACAAGGTCAGAGCCAATAAGCGGCAGTTTTGGGCCTACCAGGATGCGTCGAATCAATTGTAGGAGGCAAGTAAAGTGGCTGGTTGTGAATTTGTGGCTACCGGGGCAGACAGGTCAGAGGCCAGAGAGACGACCGTTAGTGCGGTAGTCGAGCAATATGAACATGTACGTATTCGTTACAATCATAGCATAGAGCCGGATTGGTGTAGGCTCGAAGCAGCGGTTGAATCTGTCGTGTCTGACTTTGTCTCGGGTTGAGGTTGGCGGTTTACCCATAACCAGTTGATAGGAGTAATCATTGCGCCGAGCCATTGCCGCGATCTCATTGTTAGACCAGCGTTTCGTTGAGGTCTTCCTAATTACGTTACAGCGTTGGCGGAGGGCTACATGGTTGGGTGCACGCCCGCTCATGGTTTTGTGTACAATTATGAGGTGAGCATAGATACTGTACGGAAAGCGCAGTAATGGTTTGTCGTGGGCCCAGGTGGGCTGCGTCAGAGGGGTGAGTGAATTTGTGCTGGCCATTGAGTCGAGTTTTATTCCCAGGCAACCTCCGAGGTAGTCTGTGAATAGTTGCGCGGGGAGCAAGCCACAAAAGTTGTAAGATATGGAAAAGGTATTAATTAATAAAACCGTTAAAAACCATTTAGGAAACTTAAGTTCCTCGTACTATTAAGAGTACGTTTATAGTTTACGTACTGCTTAAGAGTACGTTTATAGCATACAGTCTAATGTGGAGGCCCGGCTATTACTCAGCCCCCACCCAGCTTTGAGACCCAAGAGAGGCTAGTTGCTCACTCAAGCTGATTTTGGGCCAAAAAGCAAGTAAAAGGAAAACGGGTCGAAATATTAAGTAGCATAACATATAGGTAATGTTTCTCAGGCGAAGAACTTAAGCGTTCTCGGTTACCCGTTTCATACGCTTTCTACGCTTCAGTGTCTTAAGCACATATGAAGGATGAGCATTAAAGCTCGGGATAAATGCTGTAGGCGGGTAAGTTTTAACTTCCGTGCTTTCAGACGATGGAAACATGCTATCTTTTTCAGCTTGTGACCTATGCAGACGCTTACGCCATTATCGATCAAAGGCTTTTAAATAGTCTTGATTATCGAAAGCATCTGAAGTCAACTCAACTATTGTACCGTCTATAAAGCGTGTACGATAGTATGTATAGCCTTCCTTATCCGTTCTCCATATAATGTCTTTAAATTCAGAACGATCAAGAGGGGCGTTAGAGTTATGTCTTCTTGCGAGTATAATCTCTGTAGTCGGAATACGACTTGTGCCTATTTTAAGCGCACTAGAACAATCGGGGTTATTTACCTCGTATGTTCCACTTTTAGTGTCTGCTACAGAGATTATATATGGACCTATCCATTTAATTGTTAGTACAGTAACATCGGAATTACGTTGACGGATGTTGATTCTGTCACCAACCTGATACTGTGCTATCTTCTTGGTAGTGTTCCAACGCTTTTGCCTTTTTAATAAGGCTACATTGCGTATTTCTCGAAAGCAAGGATATACAACGTTATAAATACGTTGTACCTTCTCTAACCATGGTAACTCATGGTGATCAGGTTCGTCCTTGTTAAAGGGTATTTGTAACTCACTATATCTGCCACGAAAATAGTGAGCGGGTGGAGTTCCTGTAACCGGATCAGCACACTCGTTCATCTGTATTTGTACCCACTTAATGTGGTACGGCTAATCATCTGCATCATCTGTTAATGTAGTACGCAAGAAGAACTTAAGTCTTCTATGGCGCGTTTCATTCGTGCCTTGCGTTTGCGGTTTATATGGCACACCTCTCTTATGGCATATGCCTGATACAAGTACTAGCGATTCCATTAGGTCATCGCAGAACTCACTACCGTTATCAGTGCATATTATTCCTGGCCACCCGTGGTCAGCAAAGACTTGGCAACATAATTCTGCCATTGTCTGCGTACTCTTGTCCTTTAACGGATAGAGCAAGTTATACCGTGACGCCACATCAAAAAAGTGGCATACGTAACGGTCGCCTGTGTGCTCGGACGTAGGCAGGTCAACCAGATCAATGATGACCCTGCGCCATGGAACATCTTCAGTCACGCTCTTAAGTGGTGCAAACCGATAGCGCTTAATCTGGTTGAGATCCCAGTCTGTACATGACTGATATACTCTGTCAACTAAAGTTGCCAGCTTAGGGTGCGCGATCCCATTTTGCTTCGCATCTTTAAGTGCGTCTACTACGTTCTGGTGCTTCAGTTTATGGTTTTGCGTCAGCCATGCAAGAATTTTTTAATCATTCTGCTCCTCCAGAATAAAGGTAGGGTGTAGAGAATCCACTTGCGTGGTCTCTAAGTCTGTAGTGTTTCCAGACTCCTGTCTTTCTTTCGCATGAGTGTCATAAGTGCGCTCGTATGTGTTTGATACACCTGACTTATTTAATAGTCGCATTATATGTGTATATGCTTTAGGATTGTCTTTCATTGATCCCTTTAAAAATAAGGTTTGAAAGACTTCGGGCTTGGACTTTATGTTATTAAACAGAGTCCTAGCTAGAGACTGACGCTTCTTAACTGTAGTGTCATTAGTAGATTGTATTTCTTGTGCACAGACTTCAAGTGCTGTGTTGCCTTTGAACTGCTTAACGTTCAAATTAGTAGAGAGTGGAATCTCTGATTCTTTGACCTTGTTAAGGAAGGTCTCAGAAGGGGTCAATTTGGTTGTTTCAATGGGACCTATACGACATATTATAGTATGTCTCCAGGGCGTCTTCTGGACGGCTCGGGTACCCTGATATAGGAAAGTATCTACTTACCTATCTAAATATATTGGCTCGCATTATATCATGCTTACTATTTTTTTGAGCCATGGATCTTTACTCCGTAATGGGCAACACAATGTGATGGTAGCTTTATGTATATGAACATAATTTGATAGCTGGGCAATTAACTGCCATGGTGGATTAGCCCACGCATTATGTTTGGAGAGGTCTATTTGAAAGGCGTCTCCCAAACGATGATTTAAAGTCCTGTAATTCGATAGTTATGCATTATGATGTGCAACAAACATATCTACGGTATGTGGCCCAAATATCTTTTGAGCCAGTTCAAACCACTTGGGGTTACATTTCCAATCAGTGGCTAGTAACTCACGCACATATTTATTAAAGTCCGGTACGAAGCGTGATAACATATCCGGTAAATGGTTATGTATTCCTGGCATATGTTTTATATCAAAATGAAACTTTGATATTATATCATGCCAGCGACTCAGTAATTGTGAGTCGGGTTTCATCTCTTTCATATATTGAAGAGATTTCTGATCACACATCAGCGTAAATGCTGTTCCGTATAAGGAATCTCGGAAGTGTGTTAGAGCTGCCACTATGGCTAATAGCTATTGTTTAACAGTTGGATAATTCAACTGTGAAGCATTCATCGGAAGGTTTGTTATCTATAACCTGATATAATACTCCTCCTAGGGCTAAGTCGGAGACGTCCGTTGCTATTTCAAAAGGCACGCCATCGACTGGTCCTTGTACAACAGGGGCTTGTTGGACTGCGTGCTTGAGCGCTTTAAATGCGTCATCACACTC